AATTAAAAATTTTACAACTTGCTCAGTCAGAAAACCCATTGCTTCTGTAATGTTGTGGTTGATTTTTTTAAAGCTAATGGAATCACATGCCAAGTAAATAGCACCTATTTATAGACATGTTTATATATACACCTATTTATAGAGATGTTGGCTACCAATTCTGTTGGCTCCTTCTGTGCATAGAAGGAGCCAACAGAATTGGTAGCCTAGTACCGAGATGTTGATGAGTACCTTGATGTATAATGAGGTTATCAAAAATATGAAATTAGTATTATTCTATTACACCTTCAAGGCTCTCAAACAAATTTTTAATATCTTTAGCCTCTGGGACAATAGTGACACTAAGGCACACTACCAAAGTAAGAACTGGTTACAACAAAGTGAGTTCTCTGTGGGAAAGAGAAATGTGGAAGCTGCAGATAAAACTCCAGAAAACACTGCAAATACTGAAAATCAATACACATATTCCTAAAAATCTTTTTCAGAACCTGTGTGAGGTTAGAGCTAATATCTTAGCCAAACCACAGATAAAAAAGATCATAAAAGCAAGATAAACTCTGTGGAAAACAGTTTATCCCAGAAACTCAAAGTCGTGTTGCTTTACAATGCAAACAACTTCCATTCTGATGGTTCATTCTGTGCATCTCAAGGAGAATAAAACTAATTTCAAGAAGTTATTGTCTTGATGTATAACAACTACAGAGGTCATTAAAGATTTAAAATTGGTATCATTCTACTGGCCCTTCAAGCTTATTGTTTAGTTTTTTAATTTTCTTTGTCTCTAGGACAGCAAGGACACTACCACAGAAAAGGCTGGTTATGTGACTAAGTTCTTTGAGAAACAGAGCAAGGTTTAGTGGGAGCAGCTGATAAAATCCAAGAAAAAACTACCACCACTGCAATTAAGGTTTCATCAAAAACTTTTTCAGAGGATGAGGCTAAGCTACAGAGCTAGTAACATGGTTGAACCACAAATCAAGAAGATCATAGAAAATGATGCCCTAAAAGAGTAAAGGTATATGTGATAATCACAATTATAGGTAAATACAATTTAAAACACAATCCTTTTTTAACTTCGTTGAACCATAAATCAAGAAGATCATAGAAAATGATCAAAGAAAGACTTTTCAGCAAAATATATTAGAGTTAGGGCTAGGGTTAGGGTTAGATGTCATTATCGAGGACAATGTACCAAGTATATTATCTAAAATACATTTGGTGGCTACTTTGAGAAACTTATTATCTTTTTCTAGAGTTGACTTTCTAAATCCTCTAGAGGGGTTAGTAAACTCCCAAATCTAGAAAATCTATTTATTTCTGAAGCTTATTTCAAATGATTTTTTACTGTATTTATCTACTTAATATTTAATTGTTGTTTATTATCAGACAAAATAAATGAAAAAATTAAACTTTTTTTGTATTTTCTCACTAAATACAAATTTTCTTTTGTTAAGTCATGTCATAAAATCAAAGTTTAGGCTCAATGAAGTCATTTTTTCACAGTCTTTAGATGTGACTAATTGAAATGAATCCAAGTCTAAATACCATGTTACAGCTGATCATAACCAATTAAAATGATGTAAGAACTCAAATAAAAGCAGATACTTCACTTGATCATAGCCATTAGGCTTAAAAGCAAGTTAAATCATGTCACTTTTTTAATCTGACTAGCAAGTCATTTGGAGTACCACAAGGCTTGGCACTCTACTACACAACTCTATATATTTCAAATCAATGATTTGTCATATGACATTGCCAACCATGTTAAGTGCTACAGAGATGATAACAAGATCATTAGCTTCATTAAGTTTGCAGACAGCGCACTCAGCATAACAACCCTAAAAAAGCATTTTAGCGAGAAGCATTATTTGTAGAAAAAACTGTAAGATTTATAAAAATCAGTTACTGAGACATTTGCCTAAAACATAAAATTTATTGATTTTTAAAGACACAATTGTTGTTTAAAGTCAACATTGTTTATAAAACTAAATTAAATTTTTGAAGAAAATTATGTTCAAAGATTTAAATTTATAATAAAAAAAATGCTATAACATAAATAAAAACAATATGTATAATACACTTTTATTATATAAATTAAATGTGTTTAATTAAACAACCATCGCCTATAATTAATAGCCTATGAATATTAATGCGCATAGTTACGCATTGTTACGCCTATTGTTCGTTTTGTTAATTACGGTTCTGCATTATGTAAAATATACTATTTCTTTGCCTCTAGAATTTTCTAAGCGCAGTTATATATTCCATGCGGTCATTCGAGTAAAATCAGCAATCAAATTGGAGCTGATACATTTATTTTCAAGAAGAATAAATGTTGTTTTTTTTTAAAATAAAAATTTAAACAATTGTTAGTTTGCTATGTATATATATATGTATATCTATATGTATTTTCTCTTAGCAAAAATAATTGAGAGTAGAAAAATAAAAAAAATTTCTTCTGGAATTTGTCAAAAGGGTGTTGTGTTATTCTTCATTTTAAGGTATCTAAATATGTATTTATTTTTCATTTTTTAGATTAAGTTAGAACTAAATTGACTGGTAAAATAGTTTATTTAGTACAACATTTTATTAAATAGTTTATTTAGTACAACATTTTAAGCAGTATTTGTTTTATTTTTTAGAGCAGTTTTAGAGAAGCTGATCGCTTTTTTAGTAAGTTCAAGTTATTTTCTCATACATAAATTAAGGTTTTCGATTTATTTCAGTCTATTTTATATTTCTCTATATCTACATATATATATTCTCTAAGGAAAAATAATAAGGAATAAAAAAATTAAGAAAATTTCTTCTGGAATTTGTCAAAAGTGTGTTGTGTTATGCTTCATTTTAAGGTATCTAAATATGTATTTATTAGAAATTTTTTTAAACCAAGTTTAAAAAAGTTGTTAAGCCAAGAAAATTGTAGAGGTTTATTTATCAATATATACTATAAATTATATAATAATATTGGAGGGAGTAAGTTAAAAAGCATTTTTAAATTTTTAAAAAGAAATAAAAATACTTTTCAATATATATCTGTTTTTTTTTTGAGGTAGATTTAAAGTTTCAGGTTTTCAAAATTGTAGATCTTTTTAATGTATAAATAGACATTAAGTATTTCTAAGTAGACATTTTGTATATATAAAATCTTTTAAAATTTAATAAGTAATTATTTGTTTAAATAAGTAGTTAATTGTTATAATTTATTAAGATTTAAATTATTAGAAAATTCATGTTTACAGAGTTGTTATTAATCATTATCGAGTTGTTGAACCAAAGAAATTGTAGAGGTTTATTTATCAAATATATACTATATATATTGTAAAAAAAATTTTGGTTTTCATATGTTTTCACTAATAAATAGTTCTGTATATATATATATATATATATATATATATATATATATATATATATATATATATATATATATATATATATATATATATATATATATATATATATATATATATATATATATATATATATATATATATATATAACTATATATAACTATATATAACTATATATATCCTTGGAGTTGCGACAGCATAATAGTGTGTTAGGAGAAAAAAATTTATAAACCCGCGTTAATAACCTGTTTTCTATCATACATAATGCATTAATAATGCATTAATAAGTTTTATTACGTGTTTTGTTCAATGTTTTCTCCCAACGCATGAACTATGACTCTGTCGCAATTTTTTTTTTTTTTTATTAGAAATAAAATAAGTTTTTGCTGATGTGTTTGCAGGTTTTTTTTAACTTCTATCAAATAAACTTAAGAAACCTGTATTACTTTTGATGAGAGCAAATTAATTTTATTTTGCATTTGTTTGGTTTCTTTATATATATTTGTTTTGAAAATTTTTTTTTTAATTTTTCAAATATGATTTTTTTAGTTATTAAGTTTTTTTATTTTATTGTTAACTTTAGATTAGTAAAAAAAAAAAGAAATAATTAGTGTTGCTTTGATAAATATGTTTAATGAAAATGATGACATTGAAATGGATGATAGGCTAGATGTAGTTTTGTATTTACAAGATGATGTAAGTGCTATAAGGCATGTTGAAAATAATCGTAGACAAAATGAAAGAAATAGACTTAGGCGAGATGAAATTAATTGTTTACAAAATGAAAGAAATAGGCTCGATCGAGATAATGTTAATTGTCGCCAAAATGAAAGAAATAGGCTCGATCCAGATAATGTTAATCGTCGCCAAAATGAAAGAAGAGCTGTTGGACAAGGACGAATGTATTCTATAGCGAGAAGTAATGCTATTCCAGATTATAATTACTTAGGAGAAATGAATCAAATTTTTCAGCACTGTGGTGCTAAGAAATTTCCAGATGAAACACATTTTCTATGTTGCCATAATGGTAAGGTAGCTTTGCCTCCACTTTCACCAATTACACAAGCTTTACAGGATTTGTTTACAGGGAGTTATGTAGATTGTAATGCTAATGCTAATTTTTTAAAACATATTCGAAATTATAATGCCTGCCTTTCTTTTGCTTCTTTTACAGCAAATGTAGTTCAACCAATGAATCATGGGCTTCCATGTTTTAAAATATGTGGCCAGATTTTTCATCGTGTAGGTAATCTTAGGCCAGATCAAGATATTCCACCAATATATTCTCAACTATATATTTATGATCCACTTGCTGCACTAAATTTTAGAATGCAACACTATGCTAATGATCTTTGTTTACGTGATTTAATGTTTCAATTGCAAACTATAATTATGGAACAAAGTCCATTTGCTCTTGCATTTAAAAACATGGCTGAAGTAGAAGATGAAGAAATTCGTAAGGCGGCTATAGAAGGTCGCTCAGCTTCTGTTGTAAAAATGTCTTTACTTGAAGGCGGTGATAGACGTCGTTATAATCTACCTTCACATGATGAAGTTGCAGTTGTATTTGTTGGCGAAGATGGTGCTCCCCCAACTTCCAGGGAAGTTGTTATTTACCCAAGAGGTCATCCTTTAAAAATTGTATCAAGTATGTCAGCCAACTTGGATCCTATGGTTTATCCGCTGATTTTTCCAAGAGGTGATGCTGGTTGGCATAATCAATTGGTGCATAACCCTGAGCGTGCCACACTGGTTAGAAATCATGTTACATTATCTCAGTTCTACAATTATAGACTTTCTGTTAGGCAATTTTTCTGTTCATTATTTTATGGCAAGAAACTATTTCAGCAGTATGCTGTAGATGCATATGTAAAAATTGAAGGCCAGCGTCTTGCTTTTATCAGAAATAATCAAAATAAGCTGAGAAGCGAGCAGTACGATGCCTTACATGAACATATTAACAACATTGCCAATGATCGTAATATTAGACCAGGGCGAGTAGTAGTTTTGCCATCATCTTATGTAGGAAGTCTTAGAGCTTTAAAAGAAAACTTTGAAGATGCTATGGCAATTATTAAAAAGTATGGTAAACCAGATCTTTTTATAACTTTTACTTGCAACCCAAAATGGCGTGAAATAACAGAAAATTTATATCCGGGTCAGAATGCGAATGATAGACCTGATTTGGTTACTCGAGTATTTAAACTCAAGTTAAATAACCTCCTCAATGATATATTCAAACATGGTGTATTAGGCAAAGTTGTAACGCATGTTCAGGTTATTGAGTTTCAAAAGCGTGGTTTGCCGCATGCCCACATTTTACTTCATTTAGCAAATGATGATAAACTTGAAACATCACAGGATATCGATAATTTGATTTGTGCAGAAATTCCAGATCTGATAGTTAATTGTGAACTTTATGATATTATCAAAACTTGCATGATTCACGGCCCATGTGGGATACTGAATCCAAATTCTCCCTGCATGAAAGATGGGGTGTGCAGCAAAAAATATCCTAAAGATTTTAATGCCAACACAGTAGCTGTTCACAATGGTTATCCGCGCTATAGGCGTCGTGATAATGGGTTGGTTATCAATATTAAAGGCAATAATGTAGATAACCGTTGGGTGGTACCTTATAATCCTTGGTTATCAAAGAAATATCAAGCCCACATTAATGTTGAAGCTTGCATGTCAGTGAAGGCTGTTAAATATTTGTATAAATACATATACAAAGGGCATGATTGTGCGAATGTTTTGATAAATGAACAGGTTAATCACGATGAAATAAACACTTTCTTAGATTGTCGTTATGTTAGTGCACCTGAGGCGCTGTGGCGAATATTTGAGTATCCCATAAGTCATATGTCACACTCTATTATCCGTCTTAAGGTTCATCTTCCTGAGAATCAGATTGTGCATTTTAGAGAAGGAGAAGAACAAGTGGCGTTAGATCGTGCTGCTCAACGTGATACACACCTTACGGCCTGGTTTAAATTGAATTCTGAAAATGAAGGAGCCAATCGCTATTCATATGTTGACATTCCATATCACTTTGTATTTGATGATAAACATTGTAAATGGAAGGTTAGACAAAGAGGTGGAAATAAGGTGATAGTAAGAATGTATAAAGTTAGTCCAACAGGAGAATTATTTTTTCTTAGATTGTTACTTTTACAAGCAAAAGGAGCAAAATCTTGGGAGGATTTGCGTACTGTTAATGGAATAGTTCTTGAAACCTTTCGTGAAGCGTGTGTTTTTAATGGTTTGTTGCAAGATGACACTGAATGGCAGAATACTCTTTCTGAGGCAGTTTTAACGCGAATGCCTAAGCAAATCAGGCAGCTGTTTTCAATTATTTTAACCTTTTGTGAACCTGATGACCCTTTGCATCTTTGGAATTCGTACAAAGCCTTTATGATGGAGAATTTTATTCATCGCCAAGTTCCATTTATATTAGCTGAACAAGCTACTCTTCTTCAAATTGAAAAGATTATTAATCAAAGTGGTAAAACGCTATCTGATTATAATTTGCCTGTTGTTGATGAATTCATAGATTTTAATCTAGAAAATTTAAATGATAATGTTCAGCAATCAATTGACGAAGCTAATCGAATGAGACCGCTTCTTAATGTCAATCAATTAAATGTAAGTAATGCTGTCCTTGCTGCATTGAACGAGCAACCATGTGTAGAAAATCAACATTCCAGATTGTTTTTTATGGATGGACCAGCCGGTAGTGGCAAAACTTTTACATATAATTATTTGATTGCTGAAATGAGCAGTAGGGATGTTAAATCTGCTACAGCTGCATGGACTGGCATAGCAGCAACTCTTCTTACAAATGAATCTACGCTGCACGGGTTATTTAAACTTCCTGTCCCAATACTGGATAACAGCACATGTAATGTGACTCCTAACTCTATTCAGGGACAATTTTTAAGGCAAGTTAGTTTGTTTATGCTTGACGAGACATCCATGATTCCCAAACACGCTTTAAATGCAATCGATCGGTTGTTAAAAGATGTTTGCAACAACAACTTTCCATTTGGAGGAAAAGTCATTCTTTTTGGTGGTGACTTTAGGCAAATTTTGCCTGTTGTGAAAAGAGGGAGACCAGCTGAAGTTGTAGAATCATGTATAAAATGTTCTTTACAGTGGCAATGGGTGCAAAAGTTTACATTAACTGAAAATATGAGAGTACGTGATGGAAAAGGAGATTTTTCCGAATGGCTGTTAAAACTTGGTAGTGGAACAATACCTGGCAAGGAGGAAGATCCTTTTAAGGGATGTATTGAATTTTGATTTTTTTCTCACCAATTAAACCTGACTTCAAATTTAAAGCCCTCTTAAATACCCCTCCCTAAATTCTAAAGTCGAAAGTTGAATTGATTCATTATCCAATTATCATAATATAATGATGCTGCATTCTTTTGTTAAAAACAATTATTTGGTACTGCTTTTAAAATTTACCAAAACCCAAGGCAATATATTTAGCTATATAAATACAATTTATTTATCTCGATTCCATTCTTAATCTTTTATGTTTATAGTTTGGCTACTTAAAGCATTTTATGTTTTGCTCTTTTTATTATGAATATTTTAAATCCGTTGTGATGTCTTTTAAATTAAACTAAAGTTTACTAAAAGCCAACATAAAAATTACGTTTTTGAACAACACCAAAAAGAACAGCTGCATCCCTACAGCAACTGCTGCAGTATCACAATAGGTTACCAAAAGCAGGTATACTGTTTTCCAGTTGTTGTTTTTTTTTTTTCATATATATCTACTTACTTATATAATACTATAGTACGATTGTTTATATCTCATTCATTTTTTTTTTGTTTATCTTTTGTTTATTAAGTGTTAATAATTTTATTCTTTGAATGATATTAGTTAAACAAGTTGGCTTTTCATCAAAGATATTGGTTTCAAAATTGAACATCATTGGCAAAATGCTTACAAAATTAGGTAGTTTTTAAAAATCTGTTTTCTATTTAATATACTTTTTTAATATACTTTTCTATAACAATTCTACTAATATGGAATCACGTAGCTTTTTAAATATGTTTAATTGTCGTCCCTATCGGTAATAAATATTTTATATGGTTAACTTTATCCGTAATACGGGTTAATAGTATATGGATTTATATACTATTAACCCGTATTACGGGTTGCTTACAGCTAGTTAGAAATAATAAGTTAATTAACTTAAAACTGTTCCATGTTATGATGAAAAGCAATGTTTATTTATGAAATATGAAAAAGCTTCATTCATGCTTTCCTTTATACTCCATACTAAGAAAATATTTTTTATATTTTTTTATATTACTATTTAAAATGGCAACAAAACAGCAACAAGTGCGTGATACAATTTTGCATGCTTAATTAAAATTTCCTAATTAGCCTCTCAAATCGATTATAAAAACTGTTGAATGTTCTAAAAGCACTGTGAACTTTAAATCAGTATTTGACACTTACGGCAATAAATAAAAGCGTGAAAGGTGCAACAATTTGAACATTAATAAATAACCAAAGATAAATGTTTTGCCAAAAAAATGGGCGAATCCTATCATTTCTGAGCGAAATTTGGCTTTAAAATGCAAAACTAGCAGACAAATGGTCTGGACTATCAAGAAAAAGCATAAAATCAAGTCCTTCAAGATGTAAAAAATATTAGATTACAATGCTGAAGAAAATTTAGTGGCAAAAAGTCGTGCATGAAAAATATACAAATTATTGTCTAGAAAAAAAAAGTATAATCATGTATGATAAAACTTATGTAAAATTAAATTTCAAAACAATTCCATGACATCATTTTTATATGGGAGTTTCCAGTAAAAAGGCTTGTTCCAATCTTTTTTAATTCAAGATATAAAAAGTGTCAGTTTTACTTGACCGAATATTTAAAGGAAACAAATATCCTAACAGAAAATTTTATTATAAAGATAAACTTTAATTTCTTAGAAGATAAAAAAAAGATTTTGATAAATGTTATGTTCTGAAAGCAAATCACTGTTTTAAATGACAAGGTACAACATTTAGGATGATGAAAAAAAGCAACTGAAACAGCATAAGGAACCATCAGTAATCTGATAAAAAAGTAAAAAAATGTTTGAATTTGCATAGACAAGACAACAACACTAAGCATACGTTAAAGAAAGTAAAAGTGTTTTTTATCCTTGATTAGCCTACTCAAAGTTCAGATTTCATTGCAATTGAACACCAATGGGCAATTTTGGATCAAAAATGTGGCAATTAAAAAAAAAAAACAAAGAGAAAATAATCATGCTCCTAATAGCTTGGACTTAAATCAATCCAGATACGGCAAAAAAATTAGTTAAACAAAGGCAAAATCGACTTGCAGAAGTCTTAAACACTAAAGATGGTCTGACTCAATACTAAAAAGTCAAAAAATTTATTTACTTGGAGAAATGTTTAATAATTAAAAAGAAAAATTTAATAATTTGGTTTGCACACTTATTTAAAATTAAAAAAAAGCATAATTTAAATGCATCATTAAGGTTTTAGCACATAAATGTAATTATTTTAATTTTTAAGTTATGAATTTTTGATTAAATTTGCATTTATTTAAAAAAAACATGATTAATTCATAACAATCATTAATTTTTTATATTAACTCATTTTTCTTCTGAAATTACTTGTCAAAGTTTACTTGTTTTTTTTTTTATTTTGTTCAGATAATTATCTCTCTTACTGTATAAGTTGTGTAATGGCTGACGCAGATGAATTCACTTGTAATCAAAACTGATATGTATATTTGTTATATTTTCTTATAAAATATTATTTATTTTGATTTTCTCTTAAAATCTTGCCAAATATTGTCAAACATACTAAATACAAAAGAATAGAGTCTATCTTTTAAAGAAGGAATGATAAAAACAGCTTGTTGAATGATAAAAACTAATTGTTGTTTATTATCAGACAATATAAATGAAAAAATTAAACTTTTTTTGTATTTTCTCACTAAATACAAATTTTCTTTTGTTAAATCATGTCATAAAATCAAAGTTTAGGCTCAATGAAGTCATTTTTTCACAGTCTTTAGATGTGACTAATTGAAATGAAGTCTAAATACCATGTTACAGCAGATCATAACCAATCAAAATGATGTAAGAACTCAAATAAAAGCAGATACTTCACTTGATCGTAGCCATTAGGCTTAGAAGCAAGTCAAATCATGTCACTTTTTTAATCTGACTAGCAAGTTATTTGGAGTACCACAAGGCTTGGCACTCTACTACACAACTCTAAATATTTCAAATCAATGATTTGTCATATGACATTGCCAACCATGTTAAGTGCTACAGAGATGATAACAAGATCATTAGCTTCTTCAAGTTTGCAGACAGCACATTTAGCATAACTACCCTAAAAAAGCATTTAAGCGAGAAGCAATATTTGCAGAAAAAACTGTACGATTTATGAAAAACCAGTTGAGACATTTGCCTAAAACATAAAATTTATTGATTTTTAAAGACACAATTTTTGTTTAAAGTCAACATTGTTTATAAAACTAAATTAAATTTTTGAAGAAAATTATGTTCAAAGATATAAATTTATAATAAAAAAATGCTATAACATAAATAAAAACAATATGTATAATACACTTTTATTATATAAATTAAATGTGTTTAATTAAACAATAATTAGAAATAATAAGTTAATTAACTTAAAACTGTTCCATGTTATGATGAAAAGCAATGTTTTATTCATGAAATATGAAAACGCATCATTCATGCTTTCCTTTATACTCCATACTAAGAAAATATTTTTATATTTTTTTATATTACTATTTAAAATGGCAACAAAACAGCAACAAGTGCGTGAGAATTTTGCATGCTTAATTAAAATTTCCTAATTAGCCTCTCGAATCGATTATAAAAAGTTAAAAAATTATTGTACTGAAATATTTTTTTCTATTTATGTATTTTTGTTCTAGACTTAATAAGCATTCAATTAAAAAAAAAAAAAAACTTTGTAGCTTGTTCCAATATTTTTTAATTTAAGACATAAAAAGTGTCCGTTTTACTTGACCCAATATTTAAAAGAAACAAATATCCTAACAGAAAATTTTATTATGAAGATAAACTTTAATTTCTCAGAAGATAAAAAAATAATTTTGATAAATGTTATGTTCTGAAAGCAAATTTAATCACTGTTTTAAATGACAAGGTAAAACATTTAGGTTGATGAAAAAAAGCAACTGAAACAGCATAAGGAACCATCAGTAATCTGATAAAAAAGTAAAAAATGTTTGAATTTGCATAGACAAGACAACAACACTAAGCATACGTTAAAGAAAGTAAAAGTGTTTTTTATCCTTGATTAGCCGACTCAAAGTCCAGATTTTATTGCAATTGAACACCAATGGGCAATTCTGGATCAAAAAAGTACCAATTTCAATACCAAACAAAGAGAAAATAATCGTGTTCCTAATAGCTTGGACTTGAATCAATCCAGATATGACAAAGAAATTAGTTGAACCAATGCAAAATTGACTTGTAGAAGTCTTAAACGCTAAAGATGGTCTGACTCGATATTAAAAATTAAAAAAATTTATTTACTTAATAAATGTTTAATAATTAAAATTTGGTTTGGACATTTATTTAAAGTTAAAAAAATGCATAATTTGAATGCATCATTAAGTTTTCAGCACATAAATGTAACTATTTTAATTTTTAAGTTGTGAAATATTTTAATTTTTAAGTTATGAATTCTTATTTAAATTTGCATTTATTTTAAAAAAAAAAAACATGATTAATTTATCACAACCATTAATCTTTTATTCATTTTAACTCATTATTCTTCTGAAATTACTTGTCAAAGTTTACTTGTTTTTTTTTTTTTAATTTTGTTCAGATAATTATCTCAGATAATATTGTCAAACATACTAAATACAAAAGAATAGAGTCTATCCTTTAAAGAAGGAATGATAAAAACAGCTTTAAAAAAATTTAATGTTTATAAACTTTTGATTTTAATAAACTTGCACTTTTGATAAATAAATTTTATCTAAAATGATTAACAATAATGCAATAAAGTATTATAGACTTACCAAAAATAGAAAACAAAAATAAAGAATCTTCACAAGTTTGTTTTAAAGGATTCAGGTCAACAAGAAACTTTAAGGAACTATTTTGATTTTTATTGGTTAAACCACAAATCATTGATAAACAACTCTTCAGCTTTTCATTGGTCATAATCTCTTCACTACTTAAACAATTATATGCATATATAGATGCACAAAACTCCATTATTGTCAAATGTGCAAATTGATAAATATATTCACCTAGACTTGTTTCAATCCTTTCAATAAATCCAAAAAAAGTTTTTTCATTTTTATCAAAGTCAATGATGAAAGTTTGAATGTCTTCTTTGGAAAAAATTACTTTATTTTCAACAAACAATTGATACGCAATTTTACAAATGTTTAAAACATATTTTTTATTAAAATTGTTTTCCATGAATTGAGAAATCGATTCATTGTTTTTGATAATGTGTTTTTGCAAAAAGTGTAAAAAAATATTTGCATACAAGTCTGTCATTGTTAAAAAAGAATTTTTGTATAAATTTTTTGAAATACTCATAATCTTACACATGAAAGATAAATAAAATGGAACAGATGACATTGATTTTGCAATCGCAGATTCCTTCAAATTTGCTTTCACAACATCTTTTCTTTCCTCTAAAACATTATTTTCTATATAATTATTTATTCCATCTTCATTAAATCCCATAATTTGAATGTTTATCTTATCACAATCCTCTGTAGATATACTTTGATACTGATCAATTGCATGAACTCTACCAGCAACTACATACTTATATTTTCGAATTTCTGTTAAAACATTAACAATTGGATAGTTACAACTCGAACTGCAATTTATTAACTCATTTAGATATTTAAACTCATCTAATCCATCAATTATAAACAGCGTAGAATGAGTAATAATATCAAAATCATTTATAATATCTTTGTAGAAAACATTTAGTAATTCATGAATATTAGAAATATTTTGATATTGATTAAGCCTTCTGTATTCCAAATAAAACACAAGTTTAACATTTTTCCAAATTAGACCATTTGACCAATCAAGCAAACATTTTCTAAGCAACCATGTTTTCCCAATACCAGCTATTCCAGATATTATTGTTACAGATTTATCTTTCATAAATATTTCACTATATGGAATTGGTGTATAACGCAATTGCTTTTGAAGAAATTCTTTTCGTTCACTTAATACAGCATCTGTTTGAGCATTGACTGCATCAACAATACATAGATCAACGAATTTATGCATTAAATTGACATTTGCAGGTGATTTTAGTGGTACTTGAACTTCATTTATTTTCACATAACTTGAAAGATAGAAACTTTTGAGTGCTGTGCATATCTCTGATATATCTAAAAACAATAACTCATTATCATCATCAAATCATCATTATCTTTATCATCATCATCATCATCATCATCATCATCATCATCATCATCATCATCATCATCATCATCATCATCACCATCATCATCATCATCATCATCATTATCATCTTCATCATTATCATCATCATCATCATCATCATTATCTTCATCATTATCATCATCATCATCATCATCATCATCATCATCATCATCATCGTCATCATCATCATCATCATTATCATCATCATAATCATTATTATCAAATGTAAAAGGTCAAAATTGAATATAAAAATTTTGTTTTTTTGATCATAATCTAGAGATTCAAGTCTAAATAGAAATTAAAAAAAAAAAGTTTAGAAAAATTTGTTTTCTTTAAAAAAAAATGTCTTTTATTTTAAATATTTCATTATGTCTGAAAAACCTACGATTTAGTAATATGAAACCATAGACAGACTAATACATATAAAACCATATACAAACTATACAGACACTTGATATTTTGCTAATACAGAAAGTTCTACTTCCATACTATGCTATACATTACCATGAAGAACTGGTTACCAAGGGCTGTTTTAGACTCTGTAGATGAATAAACTCCAGCAAGCACTATTATCAAGCATGAAATTTACAAAGTAGTGAATAGATTACTTATACAGGCCTTAAATTAAATCCAATTATTTGACTTGTTGTTTGTTTCTGACATATTAAATCGTTTGACTTTCTAGTTAAAAACAGTTCTCTTAAACTCTAAAAATATCTGTGTCATGGTTTCAATAACTTTATTTATAAAAATAATAACCAAACCTTCTTCTTTTACCATTTTGATAAATGCATTAAAAAAAAGTTAATATCTGGATCATTGGAAGTAAAAATTCCTGTTGTAAAAAGTTAGCTTCTGAATTCTCTGTAAAAAATCTGAGGGTATTTTTAAACTTATAAATAAACATCAAGAACATTGTGATTTTAATAGATTCTGTGAAAGTAAACTCCATCATATGACTTTGTAAAGTCAAATAATCTCCTAAAAGTTTTTAAAAAATTTTAAATTTTTTTCCAGTAAAAGTATGTTCATGTCGCTAGATCAAAATATGTAACATGTGGCAAACCCTATGTTACATGTTTAAGAACAAGATTTTTTAGTAGTTTTTTTTTTTTTTATAGTTGATAAACGTTCATAACAAAGTAAATTGGTTAGAACATTTCCACATTAACACTAATGCATGTTTTTGTTAATATTTAAATACTAATAGCTTATTAGTGTTTAAATATTTATTAAAATTCTAATAAGCTGAGTATTTAAATTCTCAAAACAGCCTGTGCCAAGAAACTAACCTTCTATGCCAAATCTAATTTTTTAGTAACGCATTATACTTGCCTAAGCTAAAGCAATTTTTATAATAAACTTATATTAACCACTGCATATAATTAAAGGTATATATAATCACTACTAATACAAATTGCTTAATTTATACTAGGGGTATAAATTATGTAATGCAATGTCCATAAATTACACATGAAATTTTTAACTTTGACCCCCTCTTTCCTTTCTTTTTCTTTGTAATAAGTCCCAAACAAGTGAACGAAAAGCCAGAGCGTAATGTAATTTATAGATAAACCTTTAACCACTATAAATTATAAGGAGAGAAGGGTCTGAACAGGTTTCATGCCATTGACATTTAACATTAAACCAACAACAAAAATTTAAATTAAACCATTAAATTTAAAATTAAACCAACAACAACAACTGAATTAGTATAATTGGAAAATTATATATTGAAATAATTTATATTGGTCTGAATTATATTTTAAATAACAATAACAACTGCAGCAACAGGTTAGGTCAGATTCAGGATCATCAAGATCACCCTGCTACTGGCACTATGTAACCAGGTACCACCTGACATATGTCTGCTGCTTTTGCGTAAACATGATCATCATAATCATCATAAACAATCTAAAGCATTTTTTTTTAAACTAAAGCTCATTCATACAATATGTAAGGCACTCTCATCAAGTTTTCTTACTTCTACCACTACCATTTTCTACTGAAGCTGCTACCTCTCTACATGCAGATACCTAAATTACTTTTATCTTTTCTAACTAACCTAGTTTGATACAACATTTTTTGTATCTGTCAAAGATTGTCTTTATTTCTTGTCTAGCTAAAGTCATACCACGCATCTATCTGATCATCATCTCTTTCGGGAAATACTATACTATATAAATACTATATAAACATATATGTTTATATCCATAATATATATGCATAAAGTGCATCTTGGAAACTTTTATTCCTTCTGGATTAAAAGTTTGGAAGCTTTTATTACTTCTCTTCATTTTTAAGTCAAGCCTTATTCTACTCCACATTTTTCACCATCTTGAGCAGTTGCTTTATTAAACATAAATCTTTTTTTAAATCTTTTTTACAAGAACATCTTTAATGTTAAGCACTGTTATTCTCAGTTTTACTAAACCTTGTATCTTATCTCAGATGTTAGGTTCCAGAGACGTTTGGTTAGTCTCTAACAATGTCATTAACTAATGTAAGTTTAATTATACTCTTTCTGAAAGTTAAACAGATTAATCCATTGTTAAACATCCAAATCCCTCTGGCTTTCAATGCTAAAGTTAAAACTCAATTAAATATTTCTACAGTGTGTGCTCCAGAATAGATTACCATCATATTTTTAAAAACGTTCTTCAGAAATCTCTTCAAATTTTGCCAAATTTTTTTGGATGCTAAACTTTTCCACATTTTTTAAAGTGGTTCCAATTTTTCAAAACTCTAGAAAACACTTTGACCTCTCTTACTACCTACAATACTCTCTTACTACCTACGAGTCTTTACTCTGTTATTAGTTTCTTTATATAATAGTTTTAAGGTTATTAAATTATTTCTTTCTAACTGCATTAGTAAAGTTGTTCTTGAAGACCTACCCTCTTCTTTATTTCAAATAGCTTTACCGACACCACAAATCTTTGCTCCTGTATTGTTTCTTATCTACAATAACAATTTTCATGAAATCTAAAATGGTTCTATTTGCTGACGACTCAAATTGATACTCTTGTCCTGAGAAATAATCTGAACTTTTTGGTTGCTTAGAACAAGCAGTCAATTTTAAACCTGATCTCTCTTCTGTAGCAGCCTAAGGCTGCCAGTGGCTTATGGATTTAAATTCTTGACTTCCACAATTTTTGTTAGACAAAAAAACTCATTTATTTACTGCAAAAAAATATTGCAATATTGTTAGCATTCCTATATTGATGAATAACAACCCATTTACTCTCAGACAAAATCTAAAAGCACATTTTAAATGTAATAAGACCTGCTTTTTCTGCCAAACTTGAGCCACTCTCCATTTTTGAAAGGTTGAAAGAAAAAATTTCTTTCTTTTTTTTACAAATAAAATCATGATTAATACTCAAACAAGCTATCATCTCTATAACAATAAACCAAAACGCATTCTTGTTTTGGCTTTGTATTCAACAAGTACCATCCTTTTACTGTATCTGTCCTGCTAAAAAAAATTTATTAATCCAGTTTTTTTCCTTAAACATCAAAAAAACCTTATAACTCTTACTCATCTTCATGTTTTTCTTTTATATACAACCTACAACTTTTTAAGTCTTTAGTTAAATGTTTTCTGTATTTTAAAGAAACTCATAACTTAATAGTGGTTGCTTGCTGCCTTGTTGGAAATAAACTAGAGTTTAAAAATATATAAATGTATGCCAGTTTTACATACATAAAACGTAATTACGTACATAAAACGTAATCATAAAATTATAATTTATTAAGTCCTATAAATTTTTTTTTCTAGCCCCAGCTATCAACCTTTGCTAAATCTCATAATTTTGCCGGGGCTGAATTTGCAACTGTTCAATGACACAACAGCTCAATACTCTTGCTCTATCTATGAATGAATCAAGTTGACTTGCTGTGTCTATGAATGAATCAAGTTCTCTTTAAAATATAAACTATGCCTAAAGTAACTCAAATTATTAAACATAAAAAATCATCCCCACCACCTAACTGTTTCAATAAAACTTTTACAAATAATTGTGGTCATCACACTGATTGGCATGACTCTAACACCACTAACAATCTTGCTGGCAAAAAAGCCCATAACTTATATTTTTGCTTTAAACCATATATCTTATAAAATCAAGTTACCATTATAGTATTTGTTTATATATCTGAAAAATATATCTGTTATCTTAAAATATATCTTCAAGTTCAAATTTTCTAAAAAAAATAATTTTTGTAAACAAAAGAACACAAAACTCACAAAATAATAAAAGTAAAAAACAATGTATAGTTCTAAACAATCTTCTATTACAAGCAATAACAATTTTCATTTAAGAAACATTAAAATTTTATAAACAAACTGGCTTCAAAAAAGCTACGTTTTTTTTTAACAATAGTTTGTCATTTTATTTATTCATCAAATTATTTATGGTTCAGTTATTTAACATTATACAAATAATTTTCAACACAATTTACTGTTTAAGGAGATAAACTGTCGATTGATAAAAATTATCAATTAACTTTAATTACATTCTCAAAAACTATCCATATTATGATTTTACCATATATGCAGGTGGTAGAATCAACTTATTAATTACTGAAGTAATTATTTCTACATTAGTTACTTCTACACAGTCATTCCGTATAAATGAGCAAAACCGTCCTGGGTTATTATCTCAGATTTTTTTGAAATATACACTACTAATAGGTTTTATGGAAAAAAGAAATTTCTCTAAAATTTTCATTACCTTTAAGCATTATAAAATTTTGGAAATTAGAAAAATTTATGTCTTAGCCTATTGTTTTTTTCAGAAAAGTCTCATTTTCAAGCCCTTATATATAAAAACTAATTATCTTAAATACTTAAAAAATCCATCTTATTACTGTTTAAGGAGATAAACTGTCGATTGATAAAAATTATCAATTAACTTTAATTACATTCTCAAAAACTATCCAT